GAGTTTACTCAGTATGCTTTGAGGAAACTATTTAGTCGTGAAGGTGTACCAATTGTTTTGGTCACTGATAACGGCTCACACTTCACAGCGAAATCTCTCGAATATTGGTTAAAAGGACTTGGTTGTCGTCATTTATTTACTGCTCCCCGTCATCCACAGTCTAATGGACTTGATGAAAATTTTGTTCGAACATTGAAATCTGCCATCAATTCTATTTCCCCCGTTTCTTTCCATGATCTTGATCGAGGTATTGATAATTTCTTGATGCAGTACAGGAATGGTGCTCATTCAATTACTGGTAAGAGTCCAGCAGAGCTATTCAAATCGAGATCCTTACGCACGAACCTGGAATGCATTGGGACTGTCGACGTAACATTTTTCAAAGGTAACGATCTACGTCCAACTAGTGGTGTTGTTAGTGGGAGTAACGGGAATCGTATGGTCACGGTTCTTGGCCTCGAACATCTCTCAAGTCACAGACGGCATGTTGATCAGGTCGAATTCAATGCTAGAGGTCAGTTTGGCGACAACACGTCTGTTGCTTCAAACACCAATGACCTTTCTGATTCTTTTACAGATGGTTCTGATGAGCATGAAACAAACACTGAACCTGACAATCCGACGTTGAGAAGATCTGAACGTTTAAGGTTCCAACCTATTGGAGATTATAAACACCCGCACGCTCATTCAACGTGTGGTTGATGTGTTGAACATTGACTCTATTCTATTCATTCTGTTTAGTGTATTTTTATATGCCTTTGCGATGCGATGCGATTGATAGTACGCCCGCGATATACGAGAATATACGACATTCATTCGTCCATATTCGGACTTCTATACTACGCGTACGTAGTCAAGAAGATACCTGCCACTATTCTAATTATCACAAGATGGTTTTTGTAAAGGTCCCTAACGCCCATTCAGAAAGTGGGATTGGGAACTGCAAAGGAAGATACGTTACCAGTTAGAGGCTACGGTGAATATCTGACTACCGGCTGGGAACATGGACGGCTTTCTGATGCTGAATAGTCCGCGAAAAGAATTGCCAACTTATCTTAGAAGTTGTGTAAACCACAGGAACTAGTGGTTCGAAGCATCCACGTACAAATGATCGAAGGGAAATGTGAGGTCGTTTCACATGTTTGGACGATGAAGTAACCTCAGCATGGCGCAGTTACGACCTATGGCATTGCTTCATAGGAGTTGCACTGGATACATTTTGGGGACTTCCGTTAAGTTACACATGAAACAGTGCTTTTTATTCTGCCACAACCGGTGTTTCGGATTCACAGGAGGATTTCCTGGGATATGTGCTAAAACTCGGAGCAAGCTAAAGCCAACAGTACGGGCGTTCGACAAAAGCTGCTCTCATTTCTTTTTTGCTGAGATTGGCGAGCCAACCGTTCAAATCAATAGTTTGTTGAAACTTTCTCTGTGTGTTTTGACATTATGAAAACGTGAGAACGAACAATAATATATGGAATAGGGTCACCTGAGCATGAGTTCAGGATCAGTCGAGGAGAAGCAGTGTTAACCCACTACAGAAAGTGCGGTATGATGGCGGGATGAGAGTTGGGGGTTGCATTAGAAGAATGGCAGATGTGGAAGCGAGAGCTATCAGCTGTGCGATCTTAAGCCTCGTGGGGGGGGGCAGGGGTAGCAGAGTACGAGAGGATGATACTTGAGTGTGGGTTGAAGGATATATGTCCCTGTGGCAACGAGGAACAGTCATTCTTGCAGCCCTCAAGTAAATCATCATTAGAAACAGTTACATCGCATTATAGTGGAAGTCGTAGTCGTCCATGTATTCTGATAGTTTAGAGTGATGATGGTTGGCGAACTTCAGCATGAATGACAATTTTGAGAAGACCAAAACCCACACGACAGATACGTAAAAGAACCTCTGGGTAGCCTGAGACAGCAAACAGCTTCCATCATTCTATGTGTCGGAGATTCAAGGTTATTTTAGCTTCAACCGGGTGCTGAGGATTACAAAGATTCAGTTTACGGATGCAAGCACAGTAGCTGATAAGCAGTGTCCAAGAACGGGGCTTTTATTTCATGAGTACGTTACTGTGGTTGAGTATGGGATGTTAACAAGTGGCACTGAGGACGACAGGGCTGTTGTTTCTATCACACTACACGGTATAAATGACAGTTTGCAGAAGTGGAGTGAATTTAGGATTTACTGCTCCAAATGAGCAGATTCGGCACCAAGTACTGACGCCCCCATTCGGTTGTCGCTACGACTTCATTCATAGGCACACGTTTGAAGGCGCATTAAGTCGGTGAATGCTAGGGGTCATGTCTATGCCACATGATCCTATGAATGCTTTGTATACAGCTCTCATTAGCTTAAATTTCTCGATGTCCAATAATGAGCAGTATCACTAAATCCTGACATTACAACATCAGTTTACACACAGATCTTGCATTATCCACAGTGGGACTAGTTAGGCAAGTAACAAGCTTGCCTTTATAAAGATAGGACGTCCGAGCAATTCTACCTGAGATACAACCAAGGTCTTTTCATTTCAGGCTCATGGTCGAGAGATGTTCACTTGCGGAAAATGGTTGTATTACTCCATTCAAAAAATTAAGAAAATTCGCCAATGACAGCTTTATAATTTCTGAGCACGGTCATGACGACGAATACGCGCCGTCACTGGTTCGTGGATAAGGCCGTCAAGCATAATTAAAGCCTCATAATCAGCGTCGCGAATGGGTGTGCGTCTTGCAGGTAGGTAAATAGTTTTGTCACGGATGATCCAGCGACATTCGTGGGTCTCTATGCGTGGAAGTTAAACCCACAGGCTAGCTGCTGCCTATCTACCTGACAGAAAGTCAGTTCAATTAGTCATCACACACCTATTGATTACCAGTGAACCCCAACTTCCCAATAGCAAAAGCCGTTGAAGCGAAATCCTAAAAATCTTACTAAATTATTCATTGCGCTGTTTGCTTGTTTGTAAATCTAACGCCATCCTGGACAGCATGTCTATTTTTCTGTACGTAGCCTCCGTGTGCTGTGAAAAGTTTAGGGGTGGAAGCGCTATTAAAGACGATGGTGGACATCGATTTCCTAGCCTTGCAGCAGCCATTCGCGAGTCTCATGTACTAACTCTGGTGCGAAAACATTTCAGACCATCTTCGGAATCTATTACATGTGGGAACTATTCAAAAGAAGACCCCTGGACCAACATAATTGGATTGTTGTTTATTCGCTGACCTGGGCCAACGACAAACTATTTTAAAAGAACAATTGTTAGTGAGTCTGTTTCATCTGACCTCATTATTTTTGTATACCCAACCTAGCGTCATTATTTTAATTCTTTGCCACATACTCCTGATCAACTAACTTATTGGGTAGCCAGACAACTACAGAGCAACAACGCGGATAGCTATGATTACGGAGAGCAGTTGATGTCCGTTGAATTAGGCGATCATATACAGTTGACACTGATCATCGCCACTCTTAGTCACGAGTCTAGCAGTTAAGACAAGTAATCAACGTAAGTCACAGTGTTCCCCGTTATTATGATCAAACTCAACGGTTGGCCCAGTTTTCCGGCAGCATCGCTGTGAAGCATACCTAATCTAAATGACGTCGCCCTCTCCAAAGGGAGTGATATTCCATCAGGATGCCATTAATCCACATGCAGACATTGGAAACCCTGCCTCATCTCTGGATTGGTTGTGAATGTCTGGAAATGGAATCACCCACAAAGACTCGTACCGGCATCAGTAGTGCAGGACGCACCAATTTGTCGCCGACTATGTGCTGGAAGCCAGGCAAGCCTCACAATAACTGTGTTGTGCTAACGTGTGGTGAATAAAGATTCGAATTCGTTACGTTCGAAGACCATAACGCATACAAACGTTATATTGTTGGGGATGTCACTATCCTCAAAACCGTTTATTTTTCGAGTTATTGCTAAAGCTTTTTCTACAATTTTGAATTTTTGAATTTTACACCTTTTTTGCCATGTTGCACCCCAATCTAAAAAGACCGCACCCCTTTCCTATGGGCCAGCAAGGCTTTGTGTGCGCTAACTGATTTATCGCTTTCCAAGGTCGCCCGAAGTATAAATATGTGAAGTTGATCCCATCGTAAGTTGCCTTTGGTTGAGGCAGTAAAAGCCCTTCTCTGAAGGTCTAGTCTTCTGCTTTCTGCGCTAGGAGTGGTGAGGCTCACGTCATAACTGTGGATTTGTGCGCACGTTCTCGGGTCGCGTATAGCCACTGATCGTATTCGCTTCCATACGTAGCATATACATCCGTCCACCCAGAGGGAACTCGCATTGCATATTACGTGGATTTTATCTTTTGCTTGAGAGAGGCCTCCACCCAGGCTTTCATGGATTGGGTTTGTTACTATCGTTCGGCAGCTCCTGTTCACCTAAACGGATAAAGCGAAGAAAAGCGTGACTTCTCATTTTCTCAGCGCGGGGTGGTAATTTTCCCGCGCAAGGACTCAACTGAAAAAGTGTCTGAAGGTGCTTTGAATCGGAAACTAGACACAATATGAACAACCGCATGCGGACGGTTATTTCACGCGGCATTCACCGAAAATGATAAAAACTGTTGCTTGCTAAATGTGTGCTCCCTGAGCCTGGAAAACCTTTCACCATGACGCGGAATGCGTTAATTGAGTCAACGGTAAAAACGCCGTTTGCCAATCTTGTTCAGTTTCACGCGGCATTCACCGAAAATGATAAAAACTGTTGCTTGCTAAATGTGTGCTCCCTGAGCCTGGAAAACCTTTCACCATGACGCGGAATGCGTTAATTGAGTCAACGGTAAAAACGCCGTTTGCCAAGTCTTGTTCAGACAAGGCACAATTAAGTACCAGGTCCCTTGGAGGCGACGACATTCCATGGAAGATAGGACAAGCACCACACCATAAGTCTCATAATTAGCAGATTTAAGGCCGACAATAATCTTTGTAGCAGCCCACAGAGCGCACTCAATGAGGGTTACTTTCTTGTTGCGCCCCTAGTAGAAAAAGTGATGGCATATTCAAAGAGTGAGCCGTCGTAGGCCCCGTGGAATAAAGGCCATAAGGTGGAGGGGTAGCAAAATCATCCGCAGATCGGCGCACGAGACGAATTTCCTCTGTGCAGTGAGAAGGACGTATTTGAAGAGCCAGTTTCGGCATTTATCCTTGTAATGTCTTCTGGATCAATTTTCTTTTTAATTCGTCCGCGAAAAGTAAACGTGAACCTGAAAAAATTTCTGAAAGTCGTCCACACGGACCAAAAACGGAAGTTGTCACAAAACGCAGCCTTGAGATATTGTGCGAGCCTTACGGCTAACTCCGACGTGCAAAGTGTTGCCATCTTATTCTTAGTTGGGTTGCACCGCCCCAAGACCACTTCATCATCCACGTTCTTCACTCTTGGTCTCTGAAGCGATCAGGTACATATAAAATGTAAATTCCTCATTATATCTTGCATACTAGCAGTCACAGTTAGCGCCTGACGGCTGTTTTTCGCAATACACAATTCGTTTCTT